GTAAATTTTGGTCAATGACATGAGACAAAGTATATGTGAACTGCTGTATGAAAAGTGAATTTACTCTGTAAATCTTCACCCAAATCCTAAAAAAAAAAAAAAACTTATATGGAAAGACAAAAGGTTAAAAGAATTTTGAAAACAAAGTGGGAAGAATCAGACTACCCAATTTCAAGACTTATTATATAGCTACCACAATAATACACACTATTTGCAGAGGGAAAGACACTTAGCAATGGAACAGAATAGAGAACACAGAGAGAGACACCACAGACAAGCCAAATGTATTATTTACAAAGGTACAAATACAATTCAATGGAGAAAGGATAACCTTTTCAACAAATGTAACTGGAAAAAATGGACATTCATAGGCAAAAAAGTGTATCTCAACCTAAGCCCTATACTTTATTAGAAAAATTAACTCAAAATGGATCACCCATTATTCATTGAAATGTAAAACTATAAAACTTTAAAAAAAATATGTACACAGAAGAAAATCATGATCTAGTACTAGGCAAAGAAATCTTGACAACAAAAGCACAATTCATAAAAGGAAGAGTTGATAAATTGGGCTTTATCAAAATAAAAAACATTTGCTATGTCAAAGACTCTATTAAAAGGATGAAAAGACAAGCCCCAAACTTGGGGGCTTATTGTAAACAATAAAATCAATTGCTGTCGACTCAATCTCAACTCTTTGAGACCTCTTTTTTGTCAGAGCAGAAGTGTATGCTTCATAGGGTTTTCAATGGCTGATTTTCCAGGTCTTTCTTTCTTCCCAAGACTCAAACCTCAAACCTTTTAGGCATTAACTGTTTGTACTGCACAAGGACTCCCTATAAACCATACATCCAATAAATGACTAATATTTAAAATATATTTTAACAACTCTGAACATTCAACAGTTAAAAAAAAAAAAAAACAGTCTAATTAGAAAATGGGCAAAAGACATGAATAGACATTTCACCAAAAAGGTTATACAGATGGCAAATGAGGACAAGATGTTCAATATCATTAGTCATCAGGGAAATACAAATAAAAATCAGTGAGATATCACTACACACCATCACAATGCCTAAAGGTAAGTCTTGACAACACAAATGCTGATGGGGATGTAAAATGGTACTGACTCTCTGGAAAACAGTTTAGCAATTTCTTAAAAAACTGAAAATGCAACTATAATGTATGTTCACAGCAGCTTTATTTGTAATAGTCCCCAAACTGCAAACAACCTAGATGTACTTCAGCAGGTGAATTTTACACAAACTGTGGTCCATCCACACCATGGAATACTACTCAGCAATAAAAGCAATGAATATTGATATACACAATATAGATGGATCTCCAGAGAATTAGAAAAAGTCAATCTCAAAAGATCACATATTGTATGATTCCATTCATATAAAGTTCTTGAAAAGACAAAATTATAGAAATGGGGATCAGATGGTCAAGGGTTAAGGTAGGGGCAGAGATAGGAGGGAAATAGGTGTGGCTGTTAAAGAGTAACATGAAGCATCCTGTGGGGATGGAAGTGTTTTGAGTCTTGAGTGTGTCACCGTCAATATCTTACATGTGACACTGTACTACAGTTTTGTGAGATGTGACCATTGGGGGAAAGAGGCTAAGGGATATAGAGGCTCTCGCTGTATTATTTCTTACAAATGCCTGTGAAACTACAATTATCTCAAATTCAAAAGAGTAATTTTAAAAAAAAGTTATGCTACTATAATTAACAAGAGAATAAAACTAAAATGAAAAGAGGTAATTTGTATACTCTGGATCAATAATTCACATGCGTAATAAAAATCTGTAACCTCCTAAGTTCTGGTTGTCAGGCCAGCACTAACAGGAAATTATAACTAAGGTATTAAACTCAAATCTATATAAATAGTTTACTGAGCAGCTCTCTGCCACCGGCTGCTTATTGCCAGACCTGCTAGGGTTACCGAGCCTCATTAGAAGGGAGCTGAAATCACTTTGTCTAGGCGCTCAAAACATTTTCCAAATAATAATTTTAAGTAAATGCACAATAACCACCCCACCCAAAAAAAACAAAAGACAAATTCACAGTCATTGAGTCAATTCCAACTCATAGTGACCCTAAAGGATAGAGTAGAAATGCCCCATTAGGGTTTCCAAGGCTACAATCTTTACAGAAGCAGGCTGCCACATTTTTCTCTTGTGGAGCAGCTGGTGGGTTCAAACCACTGACCTCTGAGCTAGAAGCCGAGTGCTTAGCTACTACATCACTAGGGCTCCTTTCAAATGCACAATTACTATAGGTAAAAAAATAAGTGAATGTTATTTTACCCTCCAGAAATATGGGCTCCAGGGCCCCAGTATAGTACACAGATTAGGAACTCAATTCATTACATGTAGGATCCCAGAAGCTTCCTGAGGAGTCAAGAAGAATCACTTTGTCTCTTGGGAAGAGGAATGGGGGAGGAAAGACACATTCCCAAACCAGACCAGGTTCAATGAGTAAGAGGGTCTTTCCAGTGTAAGATCCATTAAGACAGCCCAGCCTTTCTGAATGGCTGGTGGTCCCAGGAATCAAAGGTTACAGTAACTGATAAGTGGGACAGACCCAAACATAAATACCTGGGATTGTACAGGGGAATACGGGCTTCCGGGTTCTCCACTCAACAGAGTTTCACTGTTCATTTTCGTTTTCAGACAAGCAATGTATCGGCTACAGAAATCTTTGCAGAGCTCGTTAACCTTTTCCAGCTCAAGAAGATGAATACGCAAAACCTGGATTGCTTTAACCATCTGGAAGCAGAGAAAATGAAGACTTTCAAACAAAAACAAAAATAGCATTATAATTAGGTTTCAATCACCACCACATCATTGTTCTTAGTTGTTAGACTGAAATCCATATAGCCATGCCATCTTCACTGCCAACAACTGATGTGGAGTGACATCAGAGATCAGAGAAGCCAATACGTGGTCTGGTACCTTGTGTGTATGCCTGCACGTGGCCCTGTCTGGCATGCTAGGAACATATTACTCAAAGGCCAGAATCAGCATGTCAGTGTCAGGTGGGGAGTCCTGGGATGAAGTACTAGGCCCAGCTCCACCTCTGATTTGCTGCCTTGGACAAGTTATATATTCTTGCTCCCTGCTCCTGTTTCCTCCTCTATAAATAGGGGTAAGTCTGTCACCAACCACCTCCTGGGGTGTGATGTGGATTAGCACACTGGGACAGTGCAGTGCTGAGAAGTGAGCCTACAAGGGGCACCTGCTTGGTCTCTGTTAGCTTCAGCTGTGCTGAGGCGAGGGTGGTGGTGGTAAAAACCACCTGGGCAGAGAGAGTGACTGTGTCATTGTGAGCCCCCTCCCTGAGTGCAGACCTCTTTGTGGTTCCACAGTCCCCTGTCAGAAGGGCAGAGGCCTGTTCCCATGAGGCTGTTGAAGCTCTTCTCCCATTTTATCCAGAGTTGGGGGTGAATTAGTAATTGTTTAAAGCAGACTTGCCAATCTCTACAAGTCAAAATAAATCAAACTTCTGTTTATAATCACAAGACAGCAGACCCACCCCAAAAACACACAAACAAAAAACCCCACTGTCTTCGAGTCAATTCTGACTCATAGCAATCCTACAGGACAGAGCAGACCTGACCCATAGGGTTTCCAAGGCTGTAAATCTTTATGGAAACAGACTGCCTCATCCTTTTCCCATGGAGCGGCTGGTGAATTTGAACTACCGACCTTTTGGTTAGCAGTCAAATGCTTTAACCACTGTGCCACAAGGCTCCTTATAAAAGCAGATTAGGGTCTAATAATTATTTAAAAGTTTACTTAGGTAAAGGCACAAAGCCCCGTACATAACAAGTCTCAATTTGTAACAAAGTCTCGCAGAGCATAACATGAAGAACTTGGAAAGAAGCAGAGTTGTAATTGCTTATTATAGTTCACAGAGCCAATTCCTAATAATGAATGGCAAAACCAATTATGGTGAAGAATGAATCATAAAAACTAATTAAGATTAGTATATTTACTACAGTATTGTGTAACTTCAGGTTTTTTTTTTTAATTTTACTCAGGACCCAGACATCTCCTACATCTGCGCTGCTCATCTGTTCTTGCTCTCACTGGCACCTTGTGTACACTTGTCACCTACTATAATTTTACTCTCTATACTATTAGCTAATGTTTCTTATTAATCACAACTAAACCATTCACTTTGTTAAAGACCAAAATATTTTATATCCTAAAATGCTCTGGTAGTGTAGTGCCTAAGGCACTTGACTGTTAACCAGAAGACTGGCAGTTCAAACCCACCGGCCACTACTCCTCAGAAGGAAGGTTGGGCAATCTACTTCTGCAGTGATACTGCCTCGGAAACCTAAGAAGGGGTCGCTATGAGTCTGGCTGACTGGGCACATAACAGGAAGAACAAAAATAAAATGCTACAAAGTAAATGCAAGTTAGATTCTATAAAAACTTTAAAGTTATTCCTAAGGGTGATACTGTAACAATAAATGTTTTATAAAAGCAGTTCTACCATGTTACTGAGTGGGAACAACACACCTTACCCTCTGCTATTATACTTGTACTGGACAAGAGTCTCTGCCCTCTAGCTGGGACTTAACTAACTAACCTCCTGTTACTTCCCAGCAGCCAGAAACACACTGCTATTGTGATACTGTGATACGCTCTCTGCCTTTCCATCCCTAAAGCTCTGACCTAAGGTGTGGGGTGGGTTTCAGAATATGTCCATGAGTTCTCTGATATTTCTCTTATCAGGCCCCTAAGATTTTGATTGAGGACTGCTAAGGGCCTCAAAGGAAAGCGGTGGAAGAGCCTAATGTGGCTCTTCATGTTGTCAAGGGTGTTGACCTGGACCTGAAGAACATGTCGTCATACCAGGTAAGAGTACAACGTAAGCCCTCATCTCCATACAAGAGGGCTCACTGTGCTGTGCAGCTGATGGAGAAGATGACTTCTATAAAGGGCACCACAATAAAACTAAAGAATCCTCCATTTCCTCTGGGGAGCACTACTGACCACCTTGTACTCTGTGCCTGCACAATCTTGGTTAGACTGTGCATAACCCCCTACTCTCAAGTCTTCAAGAAAGCTTGGTCAACCACCAGAAGGCCACTCTGAGACAGTGCTGTCTTGGAGAATAAATTTCAGTTATGTGTCCATGACGAGGGATAAACCAAGTTTGCCAGAGACGTGGCAGAGACGTGGCCTGTGAGCAGCCAGTCCCAATGAACTGTTAGAAATATTCAGAAGAGAGATACATTTCCCACAGTTCACTGGGAAGGAGGCATAAACCACTTCATTTGCATATTAAAGGAACAATTAGCTAGAGAAAGTAATAAGACCTGAGACCTGCAAGCTACCACCAATATAATAAATTATGCATGAACAGCACCATTCTTTCCTCCCCTATAGGCTAATGTCCCAATGGTTGTTAGGTATCACTGAGTTCGCTCTGACCCATAGAGACCCTATGTACAACAGAACAAAATGCTGCCCGGTCCTGTGCCACCCTCACAATATATGCTATGCTTAAGTCCATCGTCACAGCCACTGTGTCAATCCCCTTTTTTGCTGACCCTCTACTTCTCCAAGCATGGGATTTTCTGTATTCTTCACCAATACCACAACTCAAATGTATCAATTCTTCTTTGGTCTTCCTTTTTCATTGGATAAATCTAATCACTGGGAAAATCTGCTGCAATAAAACCTTTTTAAAATGTTAAAGAACAAAGATGTCACTGTGAAGACTAAGGGGAGCCAGACCCAAGTCATGGTATTTTCAATAGCCTCCTACACATGTGAAAGCTGGACAACGAATAAGGAAGACCGAAGAAGAAAGTCTTAATTAGCGGCCTAAAATTTCATGAACAGATTTTAAGTGTAGAAGAAATAAAGAATAAAAATAAAACATTTTCTTTACTTACTAAATTGTCAGTTTCTGGATCTTCACAAAAGAAAGGTTTTCCTTCCTTCTCTTGCTTCCTTACAAAATTTTCAATATCCACATCAAAACTGGCTGAAGTTGTGCCTTCGGAGCCCTGTGTAGATTGCTCACATTTTTCAAACAACAAAGCTAATAGTGGGAATAGTGGATGCCTAGGAGGTGAGGGAAGAAAAAAGAACAGGTGTTCCATATTTGCACAAGGACATTTTTGTATGTATGAACATACATATGTATTTATCGTTTTATATAACAGTTCTGTGAGATACAATTCACATACCATACAATGCATCCACTTAAAGTATATAATTCAATGGATTTTAATATGTTCAGAATTGTACAATCATCACCATTGTCTAACTCCAGGACATTTTCATCATCCCAAAAAGAAACCTAACACCTCTTCAGCAATCAACTCCCAGCCCTCCCAATCCAGGCAACTAGTAATCAATTTTCTATATCTATAGATTTCCCTATTCTGGATTGTGGTGGTTATGTTTGTGTGTCAACATGGCTGGGCCTGGTTGAGTGGCTGGGCAGCTGGTGGTAATTATTCCCCATGATGAGACTGACAATCAACTCCATGGTGGGATCTACCACAAGCAGCTGAGTAGCTGCCTTTGGGATGTGGTCTGCTTCCTGTATTTAAGGAGAAGCCTTAGGAATGGTCTCTAGCTTATGGCACCTTGGACCCTGCACGTAGCCGTGTCGTTGTTCAGCAGCCTGCCATGCTCTACCAACCTAGGGACTTACAATGGACTTGAATTAATGGCCTGCTGTGTGATTTGATAACATCGGGACTATGCGTTTTTATTTGTCAACCTTGGGCTCGGCAGCCTCAATAGCCAGCAGCTAACTGAGTGAAGAAAAGCCTCTAGCTTCAGTGGGCTGGGAGCAGGAGACAGAGCTGAAACCCAAGATTGAGGGGCTTTCACCCAGCCCCTAGAGCCTGGCACTTTGAACTTGGACTTAAAGTCTCCAAATTGTAAGAGAATAAATTCCTGTGTAAGGCCATCCCATTGGTGTATATCATTGTCAGAGTGGTACTAGGTAACCAGAACAGAATTTGGTACCGAGAGAGTGGGGTGCTGCTCTGACAGATACCTAAAATGTGGAAATAGGAGTGGAGTGTGTCTTTGACCCGAGACCCTGGCATATAGCATGAGAGACAGCAGGAGCAGAGCCAAGAAACCAGCATGAGAGACGGCAGCAGCAGAGCCCAAAGACCAGCATTCAACAGCCACAGCCTTACCAGCCCATGGAGCAGAAAACCAGGTGCCATTCTGCAGGCGGCTTCCTGGCGGAGTGAGTTGCCTCCAGACGTTAACTGGTAAAAGAGACTGGCATGAAATGTAGTAGGAGATTGGCCAGTCAACGAAGCAAGAAAGTTGAGTGCTTTTTGGGCAGGGTTTTCCAGTGGAGTGGGTTGCCTTTGGCATTAATCAGCAGAAGCAGAGCTGCCTCAGCCTGAAAGGACAGGACCATGGCCTTTGGGGTTGGAACCACCACAGCCCCCTAGGTTTCAAAGAGCCAGACCTGCATCAACTTGGTTCTGGAGTGTGGGGCTGCTTGTTCATATGAGCCAGTGGGATGGAACCATAGCCGCTGCCCAAAAGTGAGGGGGCGGGGCTGCCATGCTCAAGAGGGAGAGGAACGGGACCCACCAGGCCAAGGGTGAGGTCGCCACTTAGAGGAACTAGGGGACTGGAGTCACCCAGTGGAGAAGACTTGTACAGATACCACCTATTGAAGATCTATACAGGTGCCAAGTTGACAAGGGGTGGAACTGTGGTGGTTATGTTTGTGTGTCAACTTGGCTGGGCCTGGTTGAGTGGCTGGGCAGCTGGTGGTAGTTATTCCCCATGATGAGACTGGCAATCAACTCCATGGTGGGATCTACCATAAGCAGCTAGTAGCTGCTATGGGTATGTGGTCTGCTTCCTATGCATATATAAGAAGCAGCTTTAGGAATGGTCTCTAGCTGATGGCACACTTAAAGTCCAAATTGTAAGAGAATAAACTCCTGTTTGTTAAGGCCATCCCATTTGTGGTATATCCTTGTCAGAGTGGCACTAGGTAACCAGAACGTGGATATTTCATATAAATGGAATCATACAATATGTGGTCCTGTGTGCATGACTTCTTTCACTTAGCATAACGTTTTCAAGGTTCATCTACGTTGTAGCATTCCTTTTTATTGCCAAATAATTGTCCATTGTGTGTATATAGTACATTCACCTATAGTATTAATCCATTCATCTGTTGGTGGACAAATGGTTTATTTTACAGTTACTATGAACATTCATAAAAAAGTTTTTGTGATGCATGCTTTCAATCTTCTTCAGTATACATCTAGAAGTGGAACTGCCAGATCATATATGTAACTTTTTGAAGGACTGCCAGACTGTCTTGCAAAGGGGTCATACCACTTTACATTCACTCCTGCCAGCAGTGTATGAGGGTTCCAATTTCTCCACAACATTTCCAATACTTTTTGACAAAAGTCATCCTAGTGTGTATGAAGTGAAATCGCTGGTATTTATTATTACACAAATAAATGAATATCATCCTCTTGCAAAAAATTCAGACCACGCAGATCAAGCAAAAATCTTCTCATATACTACCGTGAACTCCCCTTTCAATCCTATCCTCTCCCCTAAAAGTGATTACTGTTAGCATTTTTGTGTGTATCCTTTCAGAGTACACTGTACACTCATACGGTTCTGTCACTTGCTTTTCTCTCCCAAATAGGCCATAGGAGCCAGACTGAGTTCAAGAGTACCAGGCCTAGGCAGTTGCAGAGCCCCACACCTGGTTTAATGACATCTCAAAATCTGTAATAATTTTTGCACAAGGGGTCCTGCATTTTTTTTTTAATTGTGGTAAAGCATATACAACAAAACATTCACCAACATAACAACTTCCACTTATACCTCAGGGACACTGATGACATTTTTCATACTGTGCCACCATTATTGCTATCCTTTCCAAAATATTCTACCACCATTAGCATAAGCTCAATGCCCCTCAAACAAAAGCTTCCTCTTTATTCCCACCCCCACCCCTGGTAGCCACTAATAATCTTTGATTTGTATATTACACATATGTATTTTTTCAACCTATCTAGGAATTTAGCCTCCACTCTACTCCCATCCCTGGTAACCAACATACAAAATATCCTTCTATGTATAAAACTTTATTTGACTTTTTACCATAGTAGACTAATACAGTATCTGTCTTTTTGTGATTGACTTATTGCACTCAGCATAATGTTCTCCAAGTTCATCCACGTTATGTGGTATTTTTGCAGATTCTAAATTACTCTTCAGGGTTGCATAGTATTCCACTGTGTATATGTACCATAGTTTGTTTATGATCTGTTAATGGGCACTTAGGTTGTTTCCATTTCTTTGCTATTGTGCATAGGGTTGCAACGAACATGGGTGTGCATATATCTGTTCATGTCCTGCCTTTCACTTCTTTACAATACATACCTATTAACGGGATTGCTGGATCAAATGATATTTCTATTGCCAACTTTTTAAGGACTAGCCATACCAATGTTCACAATGGTTCTTATATTTTACACTCCCATCACCATTGTATGAGAGTCCCAATCTCTCCACATCCTCAAAACCATTTGTAATTTCCTCTCTTGTTGAACTTTTCTATTACTGCTGGGATGAGACGATACCTCATCATTCTTTTGATTTGCATCTCTCTAATGGCTAAGGATTGTGAACATTTCTTTATGTGTTTGTTGCCTGCCTAAATCTTTTCTTTAGTGAAGTGTTTGTTCATGTCTTCTTCCCATTTTTTAATTGGATTGTTTGTCATTATGATGTTGAGGTATGGGAGTTTTCTATACACTTTGGAAATAAGCCCTTTGTCGAATGTCATTGCTGAATATTTTTTTCCCATTTGGTAGATTCTCTTTTTACTCTTTTGGAGAAGTCTTTTGAGACCATATAAGAATTTAATTTTTAGAAGGTCCAAATCATGTACTTTATCTTCTCCTGTCTCTGTATCTTGAGTTATGCTTGATAGTCTATTTATACCATAAATTAGGGCCCCTAAAGTTTGCCCCTATTTTTGATGAACTTTATAGTTTTAGGTTTCACATTTAAGTCTTTGATCCATCTAGAGTTAGTTTTTGTGTATGTTGTAAGATACGGATCTTGTTTCATTTTTCTGCAAATGGATATCCAGTTTTACCAGCACCATTTGTGAAAAAGACTATCTCATCTCCATTTAATGGATTTCAGCCCTTTGTCAAAGAGCAGCTGACCATAGGTGGATGGATCTACTTCTGGGTTCTCAATTCTATTCCACTGGTCTAAGTTGTTGTACCAATACCAGGCTATTTTGACAACTATGGCTGTACAGTAGGTTTTGAGATCTGGGAGAGTTAGACCTTCTACTCTGCTGTTCTTCTTCAGTAGTGTTTTGCTATGTAAAGGCTTTCCTTCCCATATAAAATTAGTGATAAATTTTTCCACGTCTTTAAAGAATGTTGATGGAATCTGGATTGGGATTGCATTGAATGTATAGAATGCTTTGGGTAGTATTGACATTGTCACAATGGCCAATCTTCCTATCCATGAGCATGGTATGTTCTTTCATTTAAGTGCATCTCTTACAGTTTCTTAAAATAGTTGTTCTGGTTACCTAGTACTGCTCTGACAGGAATATATAGTTGTTCTGGTTACGTAGTACTGCTCTGACAGGAATATATCACAAATGGGATGGCCTTAACAAACAGGAGTTTATTCTCTTACAGTTTGAAGTCCAAGTTCAAAGTGCCAGGATCTAGAGGCTGGGTGAAAGCCTCTCAGCCTTGGGCTTCAGCTCTGCCTCCGGCTCCCATTAAAGCTAGAGGATTTTCTTCACTCAGCTGCTGGCTGCTGAGGCTGCCAAGCCCAAGGCTGACAAGTAAAAAAGGCACAGTCTCAATGTTACCAAATCATATGGCAGACCATTAATTCAAGTCCATTGTAAGTCCCAAGGTCGGCAGTGCATGGCAGGCTGCTAAACGACAACATGGCTACATGCATGGTCCAAGTGTGCCATATGCTAAAAACCATTCCCAAAGCTTCTCCTTATATACAGGAAGCAAATCACATCCCAAAGGCAGCTACTCAGCTGCTTGTGGTAG